AACTGTATTCGACATTGTAACCTTAATTTTTCCACCTTCTTTATCTGCTAATATTTCTCCTGTAAGCTTTTCCATCTTTGTCAAAAACTGAGGCCAAATGAATTTATGACTAGCAATACTGTCACTCAAAACATGTGCAGTCAAGCTCTATTAATAACTATTATCGCTTTCATTTCCTTCTGGCCATATCCGATCTGCCTACAAGTATCTCAAAACAGAAATATAAAAATATAGAAGACTTGAATTGTAGTTACTATTACTCACAAACCTGTACATAATAAAGCTATTCAAACTCTTCTCTCTCCCCTTACAATCCGCCTTCCTTCCACTATGGACTGGTTTGTACTCAATACCAGTCCTGAATGGTTTTTTGATATGCTATATGCTGGTGAACTACTAGCCGCAAATCTCCCTCCTGGTTTGTCCTCCTGATTCAACCTACTACTACTACCATCTGTAGGTAAACCAGTTCTCTTATTCAGCTCAGGGTAAGAATGGACAAGATAACCAAGTCTTTTACAGTTGTAGCACCAAATATTCGCAAGACAATTAGGCCCAATGATGCGAGAGGTGCTATGACTAGCAGTATTTTGACTCTTTCAAAGATAGAGTACTGAAATCTTCAAAGTAGGTTTAGCCAATAAGATTCTCTGAAAGAGTGTATTATTGAGTTCGGTAACATGTTCTACGGAATCATTCCAGTAAACTGGCATATTAAATATTTGAAGTATGCGATGGTGGGCAATGAGGTTATTCCTCGCACTTGGGTTATTTTCCAGTTTTTCTTCATAGGTATCCAAGACTTGGACTTCGAGAAAGGGAGTATGACGATTGAGTTCAAAGCAAACCTGATGGAAGACCTCATTAGAGGCAGTCACTAAACTGCTTTTTGAAATCTGTAACTTCCTCCATGTTTCATTTAGTATGTCAACTGCATCAAGAGAAAGATATTCGATCTTTAGCTTCTGTTGAAAATCCTCGTATGTGGTAATCTTCTTGATGGAAAACATGTATCTTCCCCATGTGACTACTGCATTCTTCAACTGCGTCACTGCATATGTCCCCCAGCCATCATATCTTGCTCTACCATCCTTATCAATCCAGCAGATCTCTTAGCTTCTGAACACAAGATGACATTGAAGCTTATAAAAAAAGTTGATAACCCCAGACAATATGAGCTTGCCAGAGAAGGTAGGGAGAATGCAGTGACCCACACCAGACATTGTAAACTTTAGCGCCTTAACCAGTGGTAGGGAAGTATCGACATCATCGGTATTGTCACTAGCACTTAGTAACTGAATCAATTGTGTATTGCTGGTCTCAATTGTTTTCAGCTTTTCCTCTAGGCTCTTCACCTTTTCCATAAGTTCAATGACAACTGGTATACTGAGGTATTCTGCCAAAGTGTCTTCTAACTGCTGAATATCAATATCCTTCTTCACCAGCTATTCCTTATAACTAGCTACACCTTCAAATACTTCATCTTCAAATACTTCAATAAATCTCTTCATCTGGCTATTGTAGGAGGCAACATCCTGCTCTATTACCCAATCGTGATATCGCTTATACTCAGATATACACTCTACTCCCTCCTCATGAACAAGTAGGAAAGTCTCTCTATTATGTACAGGGGTGACTCTACTCCCTTGTCTCTCCTCACTAACTGTAAAACAATCCCCCTTTGGATGTTTAGTTCTTGGCGACAGGAAATGATACTTGTCTTTCTTCTGCTTCTTAGTCTTACAATAGCTCTAGGCCTATGCCTACGTTACCGATAGTACAAGACCTTTGTCTTCTATTGAGAAAGTCTATCATAAGCTTTTTCTAACTCTCTTTTGTAAAGGATTATCCTTGGCATAACAATAATAAAGGTTGGGATAATGATAAAGAACATAAAGGTGTTTTTATATTGGTTAAAGTAATAAGTAGGAAAAGTACTTAGAACAAAGTGTGAAGGACATATCCTCATTGGCCCTACTGGCCTTCTTATATAGTGTTCTTCCCGCCTGTAGTCATGTGACCCAAAGTGGTCACATGCGCGAAACCTAATCATAACAAACTAATCATATAACTAAAGTAGTCACATGTTCAAAACCCATGACCTCGTAGTAAGGTCATGTGTGAAAACTCATAAACCAATCATAACACAATAAGCAAGTCATATGACTTGAATGAGTCACATGTGCTAAATATAAATCATACCTGCAAGACACATTTGCAAGGCATACTTGCCAGATACCCATCCCATGACTCATATTTGAGTCTTGTACAAAACCAATTAAATTATAACATAACAAATCATATGACCCGAACGTTTCATATGCGCAAAACAATAACATACCTATGACTCATAATTATGTATTATGTGAAAACATTTTTTATGCCAAGCCACATTCGTGACATTAGCTCCCCTTCCCCTAAGCCTAAGTCCTATTAGGCTTTTTCTCCTAGTTTCAATAGTTCTCCTCCAGCCGAGCACATAGTACTTCTCAGCTTGTAGAACATTTCATCTGCCATCCACTATCTGACTCTTACTGATTCTAAGGTCAGGTTTACCATCTTGATCGTGTGCCGCTGGTTATCATTCAGCTGTCTTAGTTCCTTGATCGTTTTATCGTTTGCTTAAATTTTGGCCTCAGCCCTGCCAAGCTGTTCTCGGAGTTCTCGGATTTTCCTATGCAGGCTGTTGACATCCGATTCCATATCCGCAGAGGAGTTTTAAACCTCTCCCTCCCTAGGCCATCTCCTCGTGGCCCAAGCTTTCTTCGCATCCTCTTTTTCCAATTCTTTCTTGCTTCCATCCTTCTGTGGGTAGTATCCCTCAGAGATCTTTCTTGCCTTATACATCCTGCACACGTTTTTAAAGCACTGTTGCCAGTGCTTTAGAGCATGGTCCAGGTGTGGACCACTCTTTCTGTATTCTCTCGGGAACCATCTCAAGTATTCTTTGTCGCTAAAGTGTATTTGGCCTCTGTCATTGTGGCATGCCATCCATGACATGACATTATGCTGTGCTTATTTTTCCCTTCTCTTGAGTTCTTCATTGGTCGGTCTCATGAATGAGTATTCGGGACTGGTTGGTGTGGTTTAGTGGGGACTATTACCCTTGCGTTGATATGGTTACAACAGCGTGGGAGGATTTCCCTCACCTTTATCTTGGTTGAACGTGATCGTCACCTGGGCTGGGCTTGCCTGGGTATCGTTGGTGGAAGATTGAGAGGGCATCTTGTACATTTTTGAAGTTGTATGTATAATACCAAGTTTTATTGTGTTCAGGCACATAACCAGTCCACTTGGCTCAGTATTAGAGGTTGCCGAGGAAGAAGTGGTAATCAGCTATCTAGTCTAGTTCGTATTCTGGTTCTCCATCGAGTTTAATCAGAGCCGGAGAAATAATTGCTTATGAGGGAAACTTATTGTCATTGTGTAATTAGAGGAATGAGATGTAGAATGTGTTGTGTAATCACATTGAGGTGGGAAGGTTGAGCTTATAAGCTCGGTTGCCTAATCTTTCCAGTATCTGGAATGGTCCGATTTTCTTGTAGTCTAATTTCTTTGTTGGTCGCCTCGTATGGATATTATGTAGGAGTAGCCACACCATATCTCCCAGTGGTATGTTCGGATCCGGTCTGCGGTGCTTATTATATTGTTCTTTTTACTGTTGCTGTACTTGACTCATTTCGTATTGTAAAGGCTTGTGTAGTTTTCCCATGTCTCTTTTATCAAGTATTATGACTTTAATCATATTATATGTGGCCTGACTTTGTGGATGTTGTCTGTAATTCACAACGAAGGATGTCGTGCCTATTGTTTCTTATTTTTTGTTGCTGTATGCAAACTCTGCCATTGATAACAGTTTATACTAATTATCTTGTTGATAACAGATATAGGCCTGTAAATATTGTTTGAGGATTGCATTTACTCTTTCCCTTTGTCTATCTGATTGCTGGTGAAATACAGTGCTCAGCCAATTTTGTATCCCCATTTCTCAGGCTACCTTTTTCCAAAATCCTGATGTGAACAATATTCCTCGATCTGTAATGATAGTCTTCGGGAGGCCATGCAGTCTGAAAACCTCTCGGAAGAAGATTTGTATAAAATCCCTCATATCCATATTTTTTCTGACTGGAATAAAATAACTCATTTTGGTCAGGTGATCCACTACAATCAGGATGCTATTACATTATTCTGATGGTGGTAGGTCCGTGATGAAATCCATAGTAATTGTTTCCCAGAGTCGTTCAGGAACTTCATTTGATTTCAGTAATTTGTAAGATGCATGTTTCGCCGTTTTTGTCCTTTTGCATATGTCTCAACTTTTGACATATCTTTTGAAATCATCACGCAATCCTGGCCAATAGAATAACCTTGTGATGAATTCTGTTGTTTTAGCTGTTCCTCCATGTCCTGCTGTTGGGATATTGTAATGTTGTCATATGATGCTCATCCTTATCTTTTCTTCTTCAGGAGTCTACTGTTTTCTATCATACCACATGTTTCCATTTTCCCATTGGCATAAACCTAGAGCAATTTCTTTCATCTCCTTTTTTCCTTCCTTCAATGCTTCCCTTATTGCCTGAATTGTTTTGTCCTTTTTGTTTGCCTTCTTGATTCCTTGTTCTTCCTCGGATGTGAATTCAATAATATCCATTGCCTGGAAGTAGACTTTGGTAACAGTGTTCGTGTTTTCTGTTTAATTTATTTGTATTCTTTTGACTGTGGTTTGTCGCTTACAATCCTTGTAAAAGCATCTGGCTTTCCACTCTCTTTTCCTGGTTAGTATTCAATCTTGAAGTTGTATTTGCTGAGTTTTTCTATCCATCTTATCTGACAGTGGTTCAATTTCTTCGTGGTCATGAATGGAATCAGATTTTTGTGATCAGTGAGAACTCAGACCGGCTGGTTGTTATTCAGGATATATCTCCTCCACTCCTTTAATGCCTGAACTATTACTAATTGTTCTTTATTCGCAATATGGTAGTTGCATTCCGTGGAGGTCATTATCTTGGACCGATAAGATACTGGCCTCTATTTTCTGTTTCGCATTGTTGTGATAGTATGCCCGAGTGAATATACTTCAAGGTGTCTATTTCCATCCTTATCTATCGATTTGGGTTGAAATACACCAGTATCGGTGCTGATGTCAGATGTGTTCTGATTGCATCATATGCTTTTTATTCTGTTTCTCCCTTTTTCCATTTCTAGTCTTGGTTAAGTTCTAGAGTAGTTTTGCAAGCCTGCTAAATCCTTCTATAAATCTTCAATAAAAGTTGCGAAATCCTATGAAGCTTTGAACCTCCGTTTTATTGTTAGGTTTTGCCCAATCTCATATAGCTGCTATTTTGATTGGGTTGACCTTCATGCCACTTCGATACATGATGAATCCTAGGTATTCGGTTTCTTTCTTATGGAATTCGTATTTGATTGGTTTGATCTTCGCTCCTGATCCCTCTATTGCAGCCTTGATATTACTGACGTACTTCTGATATTGTTGCATATTTTCCCAATAGATGAGCACATCATCTAGGTATACAATGCAATATATGTTAAGGTACTTGTTAAGTACCTTGTTGATCCATCGTTGAAATGAAGCGAGTGCATTGGTTAGTCCAAAAGGCATTACCAGGTATTTAAATATTCCATCTCTTGAGGCGAATATGGTTTTCTATGCGTCTCCTGCTTTGATTCATATGTTGTGGTATGCATTCTTGATAACGAATTTGGTGAAGTATTTGGCTGATCGTGATCTGTCTAATGCTTCTCCAATTAAAGGCAGCAGGTACCGATCTTTCCTAGTAACTGAATTGAGAGCTCTGTAATCGACCCAGAGTCTCATTTTTCCATCCTTCTTTTTGATGAATAGTATAGGAGATCCTCCTAATACAAAGAGGTTTCTGATCCATCCCCTATTCAGGTTTGGTTCGATGTACTTTCTGAGTTCCTGAAGTTCTGCCTCTCCTAGGGGATATAGCTTTTTGTAGGGAATTTCCTTTGGTTTTCCCGTCTTTTCGTCCTTGTCCAGCTGAATCTCATGGTCTATTACTAGACTCCTGGGTGGTAGCCCAGTGGCTTCCTCTTCTTGGAATAGATTCATGAATTGATGATATTCTTTCAGAATCAATTCTTTCCATCCCTTTTTACTCTGATACTTTTTATCTTGGATTGCTAGCTCAGTGTTGATGTTGATCTTTACTTGTACTACTTTTTCGTCTTCATATGTCCATTTGAGAACTCCTGTAGTGTCTCCTCTTCGATAGTACCTTCCGAAGACCTGTGCTATGATTTCTTTGATTTTAACTTTTTCTGTTGTATTGGGCTGGGTTTGGTCTGTGCTCCCAAACCCCCTGTCTCTCCTTCTGGTTTCTTCTAGTTGATCTACTTCATGTAGGTCTTCATCATTAATGTTTTCAATAATCAATTGTGTGATTCTCTCGCCTTCCTGGACCTTGTAGTTCTCTTGAGCCAGGTTGGCTAAGACCACCTTAATTTTACCTGGTAGGCGGCGTCGATTACCCCAGCATTGATCATGAGTCGATG